CCGTATCGCGTTCCACTTTTGTCGCTTTACTAACACACTGACCAAATATTCTTATCTCTCTTATCGTTAATTCTAAACATATATAAATATCTGTCAGACGGATGATAAGTTTCTAGTTGAATTTCATAACTCGATGTCATTTAACAATTCCGCGACGGCTGGGAATTCGGCAATTGACCCAGAAAGCTGGGCAAATGGTTAAACGAATGATGACGAAGACGACGACGGCGCGGAATGCTTTTAATTGTGCTAGTTAATTCATCTGCCGATATAGCGCGATAAAGCTGGGCTGTTATTAGTAGGGTGACAGAACGGATTATGCGACTCGTTGTTGAAAAACAATCCCGGTTCGCGCAAACCATCCGCCGGATGAGAAAACGTCGGCCCTGAGAATTAACATCAGTTCTATTAACCATAGAACTTGCGCGTTTCCGGCGTGGCTCTTTTTTTCTCCCAACGCGGTTTTACGTTACATTATTTAATCAAGAGCGCGATCGCGAATTGCGCTGAATACTGGAGTTAAAAGGTATCACCTTGCCGCGATCCTCAACGCGCATCGTCTCGAATAACAGCCAAGTTTTTTATTTAACGAGATAACGTTGTAAAAATTTTATTTCTCGAACGCCAAATGAAACCATGTGTGTTTCGCGGAAAGAAAGTAATAAAACGATGATTGTTTTACAGAACAAGTATGTTTATGAAAACTGCGCGATTAAAGAAGTTAGTCGTAACTTGTTAAAAGAGATCAGTGCAAAACAGAAAGCAGGATTGATTTTCTTGGAGCGTTTCCTACATCGAGTTCCCATTTCAGCTTACAAAATCGACAATAAATTAATAAATGCGACAGACGTGAATTGTACTTAGGACAATGACATGCGACATCAAGCTGAAGGCTCAATGTTATATTGCATGGTACGAAGTTGGCGCAGAAATAAAAGCTCCAAAATTATCTGCGGCAAATGACTTGTTGAATACGTCACTTACGTAAGAAGGTGCACTTGACACTAATGTGAAATTTACGATGCGGGAGGGTTCTCCTTCCCTCTTGTATATTTCAAAAGATAGACGTTATTGGATGGATGCCAAAAAAAAGAATATTACACACGCTACTCGTAAAATCTCTTTGACACTCGACATTTCATTCATCGAGAAGGAAAAAAAAAGAATTCATTGATTCGCAAATGTTTGCTTCGAATTTTCGCACCGCAATTAGAATTACTTCGTATACACCGTAACTGTAGCGCAAAGAAATTAACTTTGCGTATAGCGTCCGGTTTCAGATGCCATAAAAGGCGGTGTCGAAAATA